GAATTCGTTTTGGCATCGTTGGATAGAGAATTGAAAACTCGATTCAGTCGTAACAACGTGAGTGAGGAAATTCGAGTAGTTTTGGCCCAGAAAGCAAAACTTGAATATCAGACACTTAGTTGCAAGATTATGCCGAAATTTCATGTTTTCAGTTCCGTTTTTGCTCATATCTCGGAGGCAAAATGAGCAAGAACGCTCATTTGCACATCATTCTAGACAGAAATAAATGGCTTTGTTAAAATCAGACAATCAGGTTTTCAAATTTTGTATTATTTGTATTTTTAAAATCGTTTCTCTTGTGTTATGGTTCTACATTAATAAAAATTGAAAATCGACGCAAAGCTTTAAAGTAAATCAAGAACAGAAGTAAAACAGAACAAGTAAAGCGAAAAATAAATCAAGTTTAGCAAAACACTTCGCTTCTGGGGCGTTCGCAATTGAGCAAGACATTTTGCGAAATAAATAGAACGCTTCTAAACTACAAAAGCAAAGGAAAAAATATGAACCACAAAATTTCAGTTCAAGCATTTACGTAGTTTGTACATTACTATTTTGTTGTAGGAAGGAACATTTGCGCCCCTGTAAAAACTCCTGCGGCCTGGACGTTTGCAGCGAAACGTGCCAAAACTCATCCTCTCATTCAAAAGAATGCAAACTGATAGGAGAATGCACGCAGAAACGAAGCAATGTTTCCGATCAATTTAGGCAGGATTTATATGAGAATCTAACGCCGCTAAGGAGTTTATTTCTGGATGAGTGTGAAAAGGACGTCGTTTCATGCTTAATAGCTCACGATCGGGAGGAGCATGGGCATGAAATTGAAGCTTTGAAAAATAAGCTCGGGTTCGAATTTACAGAGGAAGACGAGATATTTTTAAGATTTGTTTGCTGCGTCATGGACGCAAATGCCTTCGAAGTGATAGTAGGCAATGAAGAAAATACCAGCAGTGTTAGAGGTAAAGTTCCTCTTTAAAAAAATGGTGTGACTCGACAGAAGTGATAACTTCATAAATTAATAGAAACCATAAAATATTGAACTTGTTTAATGCATGATGGCAATAATAATTTTATTTTATAATTTTGATATTCTTGTTAGTCTAATAATTTATAAATGGATCAGGAATAGGTAAAATTTAATTTAA